CTCATGGTTGAATTAATACATGTATTAATTCAACCATGCTATGGCCATGGGCCTATGTCTTCAACGCCGACACTTCTATTCTATTCTATGTCTTGTGACTCTGCTCTACATAAATATCCGATTTTAGGATACCATAGAATCTTAGAAAATTCAGTTTTCTTTAGTGCGTTGTATTTTCTTTTGCAATTTTTAGCATGACATATTCATTCCTTAACAGATATCACCGTCTTCATTACCCATTGCTTCGTTCATTACACGTAAAAATTATTGTATTAATCTATTGTTGAGACTTTCTTATCCTTTTGAGTTATGATTGGTAATGATTGAACCTTAACCATTAATTAATGACCCAAATCTCATCTGCGCAGTAACGTCATCTGCGTAACAAAATGTAAACCGTAAGCTTCTAAACCATGATGCAACTCATGAAAGTGACCTCTTTCAAGCTCTTTGATCTAATTGACCTCCATTGAATCACTGAAAAAATATATTTATCAGTCTAACCTTACATTTCCCTTATTAAATAACCCAATTTATCACATTCCCAATATATCCTCATATGTGGCAGGGACGCATGCAGGGTGGCCCTGTGGTTACAGTTAAGAGTAATAAATTTCGAGCAGTGAGTTGGGGGATCAACCCCGGCTACCTGCTACAGTTCTGTTCAAAATCGGTGAGGAGGCCGAGTGGTTAAGCACCGCAAAACACGAGCAGTGAGTTGCTTGTTCGAGAGCGCAACAAGCTGTGAATGTTCTGCGATGTTAAGAATGGGTTGAAGGTCTAACGGCCTAGCCAACGGTGACACCGCTATTCTATACCAAATCTAGAACATTGAAATATATTATCCATAGAAACAACAATCTAAGACCCAGCTTCTAAATAATAAACATTGTTCTATTTCGTATGATGGAGAATCTTGAATGAAATTTCTAACTGTAATCGTAAGAGGAGAAGGAAATTTTGATTCAACATAGGTTCTTGAGTGTGGATGGCTCAGAAAGGTCAATATCGATATTTTTCTTAAGATCAATTTTGTGTAGGTATTTAGACAGCCAAATATTAGCGATACATGTGAGAAAATTAATTAATTTCTATTATTAAACAAACAGTATATATTCCGATAAATATATATTTTAAATTTGTCCTATACTTTGGTTAAAGTCACGCATCGGCCTAATTACGGTGCGATAACACATATGATATGCTGAACGGCTTTTTATCCACCTTTGTATCGATCACTTGGCGTTTAAAATGTGATTTAAAGGTTCAATTTAATAAAATCCGTCGCAATCATTTTTTTAGTAAAATTATATATACATATTTGACTTCAACGAAACGCATCTATGTCGTTTCGCATCTACAGAAGTGCCAGCTGCAGGGCGCAAACTTCTTCCGTCGCGTAAATCGGTAGTCGGTCAATCGGTGTGCAGTTGGCCGGCGTATGCCGAGCGGTGAGGAGTGTGTACAGTGCATCTTGGACGTCATCGGCTGCACTTGCAGTGCCGGCTAAACGTTCCTGCTCTAGTTCAAAAGTGATTTGATGAGATTACTGAAAGAAGGTGATATGGAATCGCTGCCAAATGTTAAATGATTCCCTTATTTATCAGATTTTCAAGCAGAAAAACTAAACGCAGTAGTTAAATAAACACTGGTACTGAATCTCATAATATATCGAGAGTGGTATTTATACAAAAGACAGTAAACATTTGGGATTTAGACGTCACACAATCAACGTTTCTGTACTCAGACGGCTAGAAAATTTCTCATCTATATAGGATTCTAGTGCAGGTTCTTCGTACGTAGAAGATAAATCGTTAATTCAAGCAACTGTCAGTGACACACACCAGCCGCATCGTTATCTTAGCAGACTGCAGACACTGCACTCAACTCGCTAGTCTCCGCTCGCAAAGAAAAATGTTATTTTAGCAAAGCCTCCCAGTAAACCTTCTTCGATCTTACCAGAAATGTCAGGCTTGATTCGGTTTCTATTCGATTGCTTGCTGGAGTCGACTGATGTTGTTGTGTCGTGTGTGTGTTGACTGAAATGTTGTGTCGACTGATGTGTTATTGCCTTTCTATTTGTGCGACTTTTTAGCGCATTTTCTCATTTATGAAAAAAAGCACTATTGTGCTCGCCATGTCCGTCCGTCCGTCCGTCTGTCTGTCTGTCCGTCCGTCCGAGACTTCACGTTTTCGTCGACGAGAAAATGCGAATGTTATTTTAGCAAAGCCTCCCAGTAAACCTTCTTCGATCTTACCAGAAATGTCAGGCTTGATTCGGTTTCTATTCGATTGCTTGCTAGAGACATAAATGTTGTGTCGACTGATGTGTTATTGCCTTTCTATTTGTGCGACTTTTTAGCGCATTTTCTCATTTATGGAAAAAATGCGCTATTGTGCTCGTCATGTCCGTCCGTCCGTCCGTCTGTCTGTCTGTCCGTCCGTCCGTGACTTCACGTTTTCGTCGACGAGAAAATGCGCTCTCTGTCACTCACTGCAGTTAGTATTGAGTTATATTTTTAGCGCATTTTGTCATTTATGGAAAAAAGGCGCTATTGTGCTCGTCATGTCCGTCCGTCCGTCCTTATCACCACCCGCCCTGCCCTGGCTGCTGGATGACCCCATATCTGCCTGGCAGCTCTTATTATATTTGTTGGAATCTTATTTGTGCTAAATTTTAATCTGTCAAGTTTATTGAATGTTATTAATTCCATTCCTGTTCCTTGGATATCCCACGTGTTTGATCTTTTCTACTCCTGTTTCAAACAATGATCAATATAAACAATTTCAACACAAATTATGGTTGATTGAGAATTAACAGCGACAGCAAATATGACGACTAACTGTTCATTTCTCGTTGGCTCCAACGAATTTACCGAATATAAAAAGTATCTAAAAAAAGTAAAAAAATAGCTTACAAAAAACTATTATTTTTTAATTGGAAAGAATTAATTTTTAATAATTCATAAATTCTATTGGTGATGCTGAGGATTAATTTAGAGACCTAGTTTCGATATGCATTCCATGCTCAACAGGCTTAGCAAGTTAGCGGTGTCTCACCACATGACTCACATAATATATTGTTTTCCATTTCTTATTGTCCATATTTGTATTTTTAGTGCATTTTCTCATTTGTGACAAAAAGGCGCTATTAATTGTGCTCGTCATGTCCGTCCGTCCGTCTGTCCGTGACTTCGCGTATCGTCGACGAGAAAATGCGCTCTCTGTCACTCACTGCAGTGAGTACTGAGTTGCATTTTTTTTATATTTGTCACAAATCTATAAATATGGTATTGGGGAAATATACATATTTTGGTTTCATTCTACAGCTTCGTCTCAAGCTACCTCCTAAATTCGGTACCTTTATCCTGAATACTATTGATGATAATGATATCTATAACAAGCATGTACATCAATGTATACAATACCTGTACAAAGATATCTATAAGAAGCATTTAATTCATTGTATATAATACAAAGACATCTATAACAAACACGTATATCATCGTTAATAATACAATGATATCTGTAATAAGCATGTATATCATTGTATATAATACAAAGCCATTTATAACAAACACGTATATCATTGTATACAATACAAAGATATCTATAAAAAGCACGTTTATCATTATATAACGCAAAGATATCAATAACAAGCACGTATATCCGGCACGGACCGTTACGTAGAGATATGTTATCGCGCCGATAACGAAAGCTACAAACTTGAAGAGGATGTTTGGTCCATCAGTGAGTGATGAACTGTGAGTGAAGACGTCCAGGTCTGTCACTTGGCTTATCTTAGTTTTTAACTTATGAGCGTATTTTCTCATTTATGGAAAAATGCACTACTGTGCTCGCCATGTCCGTCTGTCTGTCTCTCTGTCTGTCTGTCTGTCCGTCCGTCTGTCCGTGACCTCAAGTTTTCGTCGACGAGAAAATGCGTTCTCTGTCACTCACTGCTGTGAGTACTGAGTTATATTTTTTTAGATATCAGTGAAAGTGATGGGTGTTTTATTTCTAGGCAAGATTATTTTTTTCAATAGCATTAATCGTTTTAATGTTACTTGGTCTACTGCCATCTTAACTTAATTATAATTAAGTGATTATGAAGCTGATTGTTTAGGTGGTGTTGGGAGCTGACGCCATGGCGGGGTAGGTGTCGTCAGCTCAAGCGGGCAGCCCGCGAAACGTTCGCTGATGTTGCGTCAGCAATGAGCTGACCTCGGAGCACTGCATGCACCCCTGCGTACACTGCAGCGTGCTGCGTGCACCACTGCGTACACTGCAGCGTGCTGCGTGCACCACTGCGTACACTGCAGCGTGCTGCGTGCACCACTGCGTACACAGCAGCGTGCTGCGCACACCTCATCATTATTCGTTTAGTTATCGTGCTGCGTATACGCACCGCGCATCACATCGTACGCAGTGAGCGCAGGTGCGATGCACGGCGGCAGTCATTCGTGCGCGGTTAATCGATCGCCTGTTGAGCATCGGACCATGTGACCTCTGAGCGCGTATATCGGGAGTGTCAGAAGATGATCAGTTGTTCGCCAGGCCAAAATCAGCTTCGACACTTTTGTTTTTGGCGGACGATTGATACGTTTTTCGAAAATTTTTATGAGATTTTTTCTCATCCGTGCGTGTCTAAATTGTGTCAAACATTCTGTAAAATATTTTTAGTTTCGGGCATTCAGAACCATGGTTGAATTGATACATTAGTTAGTTAATTAATGCTTTAGTTCAACCATGCTAAGAACTATCTAAGCTTAGCTATTCGAGTTAGTGAACATCAGGCAGTTCACTATATCAAGGAATTATGTGAATGCCTATTAGACGTGAATTAAATTTCGAGAAGTATATGAGGTTGATTTTTTAAGAGCAATCACAAGCTTTATATGTCAGCAACAGTATATTGTTGAGTGACAATTAAAAATCTATATTCACCTGTCTCATAATATCTTTTTTTTATTAAATCATTGTTTTGATTCCCAGTAGCTATGATTGCCCAAGTTAAGATGAGTAATATTTTAACTAATTACTCTGAATTGACATTCCTAAGAGTGTTAAGAGTTTGCCATTTGCGTTGTGCTTGCTGCAGTTCTTAAACTGTGGTCGGATATTTAAGCGGCCGTCATGTTACTGAGCATTTTTTAATCTTTCTGCCAGAAATTATTGCGCCCACACAGCACTTATTTATAGTAAGCCATTGACGGCTGATTGTGAAAGAGCCTATTTTGTTGTAGTTGTAATAACATTGACATTTAATAGTGTTCAGGAACAGTGAAGTGAATAGTGTAATTATTATAGTTCTGACGCTAACAGAATAAAAGTAAATTGAGAATATTTACCATCCTTTCCTGCCTTCTACCGAGAGTGTGTTCGTCCACCTGCTGTTTATGAACTGAAGACTGAAAGTTTACGCCTCACTGTAGCCTACACAACGTCTTGACACGACACAACGTCACTGTCGTCACGCGAGACGTGGCAAGACGTTTTCAGCCCTGACGTGTCCCCCTACAGCGCTACGTCAACGTACGCGTCGTCCCCGGATTTGGGGGACCGGGTTGGCAGGTGCAAGGGAAGCTCAAAAGACTCGCTGAGTCTTGCATCCCCAACTGATCATCCCCGTCTTTCATCCCCTACTAATCTATATAGGGGATTGAATCTGATCTGGTTGTGATTGATGGGAATGTCAAACCCGAGAACTTGTCGAACAGTGCAGAACTTACGGCCATCGTGATATCACACGTACCTACGACCATCTTAGATCATAAGTACTCACGGCTATCTCATATTTCATACAAACTTTATACAGCTATAGGACATACGTAGCTCGTATCTTAGACCACACGTACATACCACCCTCTTAGGCAATACGAAACCTGTATCTTAGGCGCTTCGTAGCACGTAACTTAGTCATTCGTAGCACATATCTTGGCCAAACATTGCTCGTATTTTAAGCCACACGTAGCTCGTAACATAGGCCATACGTAGCTCGTATTTTCAGCCATACGTAGTTCGTAACTTAGGCCATACGTAGCACGTATTTTAAACCATACATAGCTCATATTTTAAGATATACGTAGCTCGTATCCAAGACACGTACCAAGCATGACATGCCAACAAGCCCCGGACCTGACGCTCTCGCCATGCCGGCGAGCTGCGATCTTCATGGTAGGGGCGCTGGAGGTCCTGCTGTTTGGAGGAGCCGTGTTCGGGTGGCCGCAGCTTGTCCACCTCCTGAAGATGGACAGCGTTTTCGCTGATCTTTGCAACGACGTCAACACGGCCGCAGGGCCTGGTATCAACAAATACGAGGCTGTGCCGCAAGGCGAAATATTCAACAACAGCCGCTGCATGGCGCTAAATGCGACACCCGTCTTCTTGCCGGGACACAAGGTGAGATTAGATATCTTCGACCGGTTTATTTTGAGATAAATTATTCATTGCATGATTCCTTGTATTCTTTCCGATTATGTTACTCCGTAGATCTTAAATAAGGATGAAACTGGTCTCCGGAAACATGTCATTAAAAATCTGTTGTATATTCTTCAGAAATCAATTCAAAAGTTTTAGTCAATGCCGATGAATCATTTCATAAAAAAATGCAGAAAATAATTCATCGATCATAAATACAGAGTTACTCATTTCCTCAATGATGTATTCACCCCAATAAATTAATTGCCTCCAGTGAATCATTCTTCCGAATGAATCCTTCCCTCCAGTGAATCATCCCTCACTGTGAATCATCCCCAGTGAATTTCCCCTACGAATCATTCCCTCCAGGTGGGGGTCGAGCAATGCGCCCCCCAAGATGAGATGTTCGCGCTGATCTTCACGCTGGCGGTTGGGTGCTACGGTATACCGAGCTTCCTGGTGGGCTTCCTGCTGCATCACGCCGGCCTCTGGCCCACCAGGATCTCTGCAGGGTGCGTTGGGCGAGCGTGTGGCGACCGCGGGGCGAGCGTGTGGCGACCGCGGGGCGAGCGTGTGGCGAGCGTGGGACAAGCGTGTGGTGACCGCGGGACGAGCGTGCTGTGGCGAGCTTATAGGGCGAGTGTCTGGCGACCGTAGGGCGAGCATGGGACGAGCGTGGGGCGACCGCGAGGCGAGCGTGTGACGTGCGTATATAGGGCGAGCGTTGGGCGAGCGTAGGGCGAGCGTGGGACGAACGTGTGGTGACCGCGAGGCGAGCGTGGGGCGACCGCGAGGCGAGCGTGTGACGTGCGTGTGGCGAGCGTGTGACGTGCATGTGGCGACCGCGGGGCGAGCATGTGGCGACCGCGAGACGAGCGTGTGGCGACCGCGGGGCGAGCGTGTGGCGACTGCGGGGCGAGCGTGTGGCTACCGTGCTGCGTGTAGCTTAGCAAAATAGAAATGCGTGCTCCCTAATTATGGTATCGAGTCTCGTAATGTTTTACCTACGGAAATCGGGACGAAGTTCCTACACGCGATGGTTTTACGGAAAAAATTCTTTGAAAATTTTGCATAGCAATTTTATATGATTTAATTTGTAGTATTTTATGATGACGGAGGCATTGAAATATCTTTGTTTACAGGGCGATGCTGTGTGTGGGCTTCATATTTCTGGGCATCACGACCAAAGGTATATATAATTGGCCTCATTTACTGCCTCACTTACTGCTTCACTGCCTCTATAATGAGATAAGTTTTATAATAATAGCTTACCAATGAGATCAGTGTTGTGATTTGATGCATCATATGTTCGTGTTTTATAATAATAGCTTGCTAATAAGATCAGAGTTGTGATTTTATCTATCATACGTTCATGTTTATACGAACATTGTGAGAACATATATTATTTCTACTGATTCTTTAGCAGCGATGTCCCAACAGAGTCGCCGTACTGGCTGTTCCCAGCCATGATGCTGCTGGCGCTAGGAGGCAACCAGCTGCGCATGAGCGGCTTGCAGTTCGCTGACATGTTCCCTGCACACAAAGCCACCGCCCTCACACTCCTAGCCAGCATGTTCAGCACCTCCGCCTCCCTCTTCCTCGTGTTCCAGGTGACATGTTCACCCTCCTAGCCACCTTGTTCACCCTCCTAGCCAACTTGTTCGCCTTCCTAGCCAGCATGTTCACCCTCCTAGCATCATGTTCACCCTCCTAGCATCATGTTCACCCTCCTAGCATCATGTTCACCCTCCTAGCATCATGTTCACCCTCCTAGCATCATGTTCACCCTCCTAGCCTGCATGTTCACCCTCCTAGCCAGCATGTTCACCCTCCTAGCCTGCATGTTCACCCTCCTAGCATCATTCACCCTCCTAGCCAGCACGTTCACCCATATATAATAAGTGGGATTGTTTTTAATTTAATATTAGAGATTTAGATTAAGTGGGAATTTATTTTTTATTAGATTAAAATTGAGATTAAATGGGAATGTTCTCCGATCGAAGAATAAAACATTCAAGAAATGTTGCTATGTTGTGCAGCTTGCAGAACGGTACCACATAGAGCGCAGCATCATATGTTGGTGTCTGGCTGGACTGTCAACATTCGTGCTGTGGATGACATTCATCATGCCACCACACCACATTCCTTGCCACGACGACTACGGTGAATACACCACATTTTATGTTGAACATTATTACATACATTTCAACATGAATGCTACATAGGAATGACTATGTTAACATGTGTGAGGTGTACAGTAATATCTTTATTTATTTATTTATTTATTGAAGAAAAGTGGTTACCCTGATGGCTAGCGGAAAAGCTCCATATTGAATTAAAAAATAAATATCGGTCTTTGAATATTAAATATCGGTCTCTGAAGTTTGTCAACTTTAACATGATGTGCCGGTTTAATGTATTTCTCTAAACGTTGTTATACGTTGTCGCTCTGTATTAAATACGTTGATATCTACACGCTCTTGAAAAAGTTAGAAAATTATGTAATCATCGATTACATTAATAATCCAGTGCTATTTCTGTAGCATTAATGTAGACCATAAAACTGGCACACTGCAAATAATTTTTACGTTTTCATTCAATTTAATTCATGTAGTTTTCATTCACGGTGCGCTGAAGGACCAATTGATGGTTGTAGGCGGGATTTTATAGTTCGTTTTCTAGTGATTTTTTGGTCAGAATTTCTTGTTTTTTTAACTAAAAAAAATAACATGACCTGCTTCCTGGTCTTCGCTCCCCGCGTCTGTCGTTAATTATCATGTTAATTAATTTAAGTAAATAATTAATTATTAATAAAGTCTTTTTTGCAGACAAATCAGGCTACTTAATTAGTTAATTATTTATTATTAAAGTCTTCTTGTTTTACAGACAAATCAGGCGTCGGTGAGCACGACGAACTCACGCTCTCCTACAGCTACAAGTGAGTCACGTGTACAAGTGTGTCACATGTACAAGTGAGTCACATGTACAAGTGAGTCACATGTACAAGTGAGTCACGTGTACAAGTGAGTCACATGTACAAGTGCGTCACATGTACAAGTGTGTCACATGTACAAGTGTGTCACATGTACAAGTGTGTCACATGTACAAGTGTGTCACATGTACAAGTGTGTCACGTGTACAAGTGTGTCACATGTACAAGTGTGTCACGTGTACAAGTGTGTCACGTGTACAGCAATAAGATCGCCGTATCGCCTTACTATTCTTGTATGTATGACGGTAACGTCTGATGCTCATGATACTTGAGCATGATTACGACATCCAACATCGTAACATCACTAATTTGATGCTCATGATACGTGGACATGATTACGACATGCGTCGTCACTCCACGTCTTTATGACTCTAATAAAGTGCCATTACGACCGGCCAGCAGCTTACGACAATCGTGAGATTCTTTAGGAATACTCGTACGATGTCGAATACATTTCATAAATCCTGCCTTTCACCTAAATTATCTCATTCGCGTCAACATATCCGCCATCCCCGCTCATGTGGAGTATGGGTGTCTGAATGTCGTCGATTTAAAACGAATTTTTTCAAAATTCGTGCCCTATTTTGGGCAAATATTGGGCTGTGCCCTATTTCATCCTGTCGAAACAATAACATTGGAAACCTTCTTTCTTTCTTACCAGTACTAATTAATTCTATTATTAAACACATATCTATTACTACTAGTAATTCTCTTGTTATAGGACTGCTGATAGTTTATCATCACGAAGCTAAACGATGGCCCAGGGTGGCTCAGTGGTTGCAATTCAGCTGGCCTATACTTTCAAAAAAAGTTAAGGGATCGTAAGTTCATCAGCCAATAATTGACGGCCTTTCAAGCAATATCCACCAATCATTGACAAGAAAATAGAGCGTAAGTACTTACGTTCACTTTGCGAGTTTTGAAAATATGGTCCCAGAGTACCAGGATTGGCGCAGAGAGGCGCGGGTTCGATCCCAGCTCTGTGCGCCAGTTTCTGGTCAGAATCGGCGAGGAGGCCGGGCGGTTAAGCACTGCAGAATTGTAGCAGTGTGTTGCGAGTTCAAGAACGCAACAAGCTGTGAATGTTTTGCGATGTTAAGAATCGGCGACAGGCCTACGGCCTAATAAACGCTAAAACCGCTATTATTATTATTATGTGCGTTTGTAGCACAGGAGGGGTGGCGGTGAAGGAGGTGCAGGAGCTGTCCCTCCTGAGGGCCCTGGTGACGCTGTCGTCCATCCTGCTGCAGGTGTGGCTAACTGCCAACCTCCTCGCTGTTAATATCTACCAGCTCACCTACAACTACTGGATCACTAGTGAGCCTCTCTAGTTGAACCTACCTCAAGTTACTATATTTCTATTATATTCATGCTAGTTGAACCTACCTCAAGTTATCGTTCTATTATATTCATGATAATCGCCCTCTTGTTGGACCTACCTCAAGTTATAGTTCTATTATATTCATGATAATCGCCCTCTAGTTGGACCTACCTCAAGTTATAGTTCTATTATATTCATGATAATCGCATGTAATTAAACGGACGCCACTCGTGCCACTCACGCTTGTTGNCGTCCATCCTGCTGCAGGTGTGGCTAACTGCCAACCTCCTCGCTGTTAATATCTACCAGCTCACCTACAACTACTGGATCACTAGTGAGCCTCTCTAGTTTAACCAACCTCAAGTTATCGTTCTATTATATTCATGATAATCGCCCTCTAGTTGAGCGTACCTCAAGTTATCGTTCTATTATATTCGTGATAATCGCATGTAATTAAACTGATGCCACTCGTCACTCGTGCCAGTCACGCTTGTTGTAGACATGCCACTCACGCCATTCACTCGTGTTGTACACATGCCACGCACGCCATTCACGCTTGTTGTAGACATGCCACTCACGCCATTCACTCGTGTTGTAGACATGCCACTCACGCCATTCACTCGTGTTGTACACATGCCACTCACGCTTGTTGTACACATGCCACTCACACCACGCATGCTCCACAGTCGTGTCGTGCACCACGGACGAGGCCGAGCTCTTCTCGATCCTGTACAGCTGCGTGAACTTCATTTCGGTGTTCGTTGACCTTCTGTAACTCTTGTGCCAGAGGCCCTTCTGTTACTCTTGTGCCAGAGGTCCTTCTGTTACTCTTGTGCCGGAGGCCCTTCTTAAACTCTTGTGCCAGAGGCCCTTCTGTAACTCTTGTGCCAGAGACCCTTCTGTTACTTGTGCTTCAGAGCCTTTTTTGTGCTCTGGACCTACTAGTATTGTATTACCCAGTATGAACTGAAGATTTACCAACATTCCAAAGTTAGAGTTCCAAAGAACTCCTCTCGTGTACCGATATAACCCTTCTTTCGTACCTACGTAACCCTTCTCGGTACCAACGTGTCCCGACATACCCTTTGACCTCACACCTCCACCAGGCCTCTCATACCGTGACCGCCGTACCAGGGAGATCCGGTCGACCATCTTCCCGCTGGCGTTCACCACCGTGTGCACGTTCTGCATGTACCTGCTCCTGCTGTTCTTCCACCCTGTGGGGGTCTACTGCTCCCTCGTCTTCATGGCCCTCACACGTCCTTGCGTCGTCGCCGTCGCCACCGCTTTCGTCAGGATAAGGTGAGTCTTGCTCACTCCGAGTAGGTCTGATGACGATGGTGATAGAATGGTGGTGTTGAGTTGACTGATGCTGTGGAGGGCATGGTGTTTCATGAGGGTGGGGTGGTTTCGTGTTTACGTAAAGAAACAAGATTGAAGCAGTCACTTTCGTGTTCGAGACACTGAACAAGTTGTGAAAAGTTCTACGATGTTAAGAATCGGCTACTGGTCTCAAGTCCTAATTTGCAACGCTGACACGCTGTTATTATAATGATTGAGGATGTAAATGTCATACACGATGCTCGACATGACGCTATACACCAGTGGTTCCCAAAGTGGGCGATATCGCCCCCCTAGGGGCGGTGGAAAGATTTTGGGGGGCGGTACGGAAGAAAAGGGCGTTTGGGGGGCGATAGGGGGGCGGTAGTCCGAAGTCAAAGTCAGAAGTTCCAACGTTTGTTTGACGATTTGTACACAACACGTGCAGCACATCATTACTCCTAGCAATGGTTTTGTCACCCAGATCTGTTTTTTTAACCTCTCCTGTGTTTACGTCTCGGACAAATTAACGGCCGGTCTCACGGCCAATTTCCAAATTCAATGATCAAGGAATATCTCGAACTAATGAACTTAACTCGTTGAAACTTGGTACACATATTCATTAGGACCTAACGGTAATGTTTAGTTCGTGAATTTATTTTAATTTTGCCTTCATTTGTTTTTGCCATAGTTATATGGAAATACGGGCCGAAATTCACAGTGAACAAGGAATTTCTTCCAACTATTGAACAGATTCGAACGAAATTTTGAATTTTCAGTCCTAACTACCGAACGGTAATGTTAACTCGTGAAAATTTATTCGATTGTGCCCTTGTTCGCGAGTTTTTTTTTTTTCATTTCACCTTCATTCGTGATTTAAACAGCAATACGCGCTTAAATTCGCAGTAATCAAGAAATTTCCTCCAAAACTACTGAATATATTTGAACGAAACTTATTATTTAAATACCTAACCTCAGCAACGGTGATGTTTAGTTTGCTACAAATTTTTAGTTTTGACTTCGTTTGCGAGTTATACGGCTATAAGTATACGGATATTCGTAAACGGCTCTTAGTTAAACCGGCCGGTAGAAAAGCCAGTTGTTCCTCCTATATCTGTTAACTCGCGAACGAAAGCAGAATAGAAAATTTTTCATGAGCTAAAAATCACCGTTGGGAGGTTATGTACTTATATTCAAAGTTTCGTTGAAATCTATAGAGTAATTTAGAAGAAATTTCTTGATCGCCGCGAACTTAAGCGACAAATTATCCTGCGATACAGGCCGAATATAAGGAAGTGTGAAATCAAGAATGACGGCAAAATGAAAAAAAAAATCGAAAAAATCGAAGGTAAAATCGAAAATTTTTTGAAGCTAAAAAATCATCATTTGGTAGTTAGGAATGTATATTCAAAATTTCGTTAAATTTCAAATTTTCGTTCAAATTATTTGATCACTGCGAATTTCGGCCTTTATCGCAATATAACTCACGAATGAAGGTAAAATTTAAAATTTTTACGAGCTAAAAATCACCGTTAGGTTCTGATGAATCACCGTTCTGATATTCCAAGTTTCCGACCGGCCACGAGTCCGGCCGTAAATTTGCCCAAGATGTCCTAGGTTTCTAGTGCTGAAAGAGTTAAAACAGCTTAAAAACATATTGGTTCACTAAATGGGGTTCTATTTGTGAAATACACATTTGTGTTTAACCTTTATATTTTGAAATTGCAGCGTACTAAATTTCAGGAAAGAGGCGTATGTTTTATATGGTCTGTGGGGGGCGATAGAAATTCACTAGGGAGCCAAAGGG